AAAAAAAAAAACCCCTTAACAAATACACTGTTTTAATGCAGGCTGATTTTCAAAATACTAAAATTATTTAATTGATGAGATATAATAGAAGCATAATTTACAATTTAGTGACATTTGGATCATCTATTAGATCATCCTGCAGTGGGTATCATCTCAGAGATGTATACTGTTATATTGGAATAAAACCAGGAGGATGATGTAGAATAGAAAGGCCCTAAAAGAATAGTTTTTGAAAAATTGAAACTAACTTGGGAGCTGTACTGAAGAAGCTAGGTTTTAAGGTGATGGTGTAAAAAACAGATTTTTTTCCCCAGAGCCTTGGCATAATCTGTTTTATGTCAAAGCCACCCCATTAAATGCTAAATACAGTCATTGGCTGTCATGATATGACACAGGATTGGTTAATGTGGCTGATTTGCATTGGCAGCTTTCTTTCTTTTTTCTTTTCTTTTTTTTTTTTGAGACAGGGTCTTGCTCTGTTGCCCTGGCTAGAGGACAGTGACGTCATCATAGCTCACTGCACCTCCAGCTTCTGGGCTCAGGCAATCTCCCTGATAAAATAGTTGGGACTGAAGGTGTGTACCACCATGCTCAGCTGATTTTTCTTTTTCCTTAATAGAGGCACAGGGGTCTCACTATGCTACTCAGGCTGGTCTTGAACTCCTGGCCACAAGTGATCCTCCCACCTTAGCCTCCTAAAGTACTAGGATTACAGGTGTGAGCCTCTGTAGCTGGCCAGAGTTTGATATCTTTGACCTAACCATTATATTTATCACACTAATGATCTCATCTTTGTAGGGTGAGTGTGATGCTAATAGTGATTTCAAATAAATCAGATTTTTTATATACAAATACCGACCCTTTGAGTTTTGCTAGCTAAGAAGGCTTCTTTCTACATTTATTCCAGTGATTTGCCACTGTTTTGAGTTTTCCATTTTCTCTTTCAGAATTGCTTTTAAAATCTTAGGAATATTCTTGTCAGTACATTGAAGGCATAACATTTTTATTTTCTGAGTGTGATTTTTAGAAAGAGCTAGACATCATTCAGAACTTTGTTAGAGAAATACAGTGGATAATCACATTGTTTGGTAATTTAGAGAATAATGTTTAGCTCTAAATAATGAGACATATTTTGTTATGACTTAATGAAAACTGGCTCCAATAGTACTTCCCCAAAAAGCTTTGAACAATGGCCTTATCGGAATAAGTGTACTCCCTTTCAAAGTGACTGCTGGCCAGGTGTGGTGGCTCACACCTGTAATCCTAACACTCTGGGAGACTGAAGGAGGCCAGTTGCTTGAGCTCAGGAGTTTGAGACCAGTCTGAACAAGAGTGAGACCCCATTTTAAAAAAATAGTTGGGCATTGTAGCAGGTGCTTATAGTCCCAGCTACTCGGGAGGCTGAGTTAAGAGGATCTCTTGAGCCCAAGAGTTGGAGGTTGCTGTGAGCTGTGACACTGTGGCACTCTACCAAGGGGGACAAAGTGAAGACTCTGTCTCAGAAAAAAAAAATAAAGTAAAAACTACATTGAAGAACATTTATTTGATATATAGTTTCAGGTTTATGTATTTATAAATTTATCATCTTTACCTCATAGTTAAATCTTATAAAAGAACTTGAAAAGGTTTGAAAGCTAAAAAATGAAAAAGATTTACTTTGCCAGCCACCTAACAATTGTGCCTTGGAAGGTACATGAATAACAGGGATATTGAGAGGATATTTTATGATACCAGTAGGAGCAGATAGAAATCTACTGAGACAGTCTAGGGTTGTAATTATAGGTTTCCTAAGGCAGAGAAGATTATCCTGAAGACTTCAGGGACTTCTTTTTTTTTTTAAGTGTCTCACTTTGTTGCCCTGGGTAGAGTGCCGTAGCAGCACAGCTCACAGCAACCTCAAACTCTTGGGCTTAAGTGAATTTCTTGCCTCAGCCTCCGGAGTAGCTGGGACTACAGGCGTGCGCCACAACACCCGGCTATTTTTGGTTGCAGTTGTCATTGTTGTTTAACTGGCCTGGACTGGGTTCGAACCTGCCAGCCTGGGTATATGTGGCTGGTGCCATAACCACTGTGCTATAGGTGCCAAGCCGATTTCAGGGACGTCTTATGTGTTCCTATCCAGGGGAGTGCAACCTGCATCCAACCTGCATCCTGATTTTGTGAGGACTTTTTTTCTTTTCTGTGGTGTCAGATATCATAGAAAGTATGCATGGAACTTTTTTTTGCTAATCAGCTTTCATTACTATTTGTGTTATTTAGTTTGTGGCCCAAGACAACTCTTATTCTTATAATGAAAAAAAAGAGGAGGAAAAAAGTTTGAGACACCCCTGGTTAAGCTTAACAAATTTGAAGATGGAATTTATAGCCAAATAGCTTTGTATACTTATTTGGTTATTTATTTATTTTTGGATACTCATTTATTTATATATATACACACATACAATTTTATACACATTTTATTTTTCTAATTATAAACATTTAAAATCATAACAAATAGAGAAAAAAGCTACTTATAATTATACCTATCAGAGGAAATCATCATTGACCTTGTTAACCTACTTTTATCTATGTATTATTTTATAACGAGATCATAATGAACTTATGGTTTTCAATATTGATTTTTTTGACTTATTGCAATTATTTTCTCAACTATTTTCTCAAGTAAGAAATTCTTCATAGACAAATTATTTATGGGTAATCTTTAGTTTTTATTATCCATTTCCATCTAGTTTATAAATTTTACTGTTAAATTAAACCTTATTATTGAATAAATAAAACTTAGCTTATTTCTTCTCACATTCATGTTTTCAAAAGTAGTAGGGAAAAAATTATGCTTTTAAGCTTTCTTAGATTATGCTTTCTTAGTCCATAGGCTTCACTTATTTATTATTTATAAATGTTCTCTTTGCTAACATGAAGCCATAGTTACTTTTCAACACATAGAACTAAGCAAAAAAAAAAAAAAAGTAAAATTATTTCTTCCCTCTCTTGCTGAAGGTGGTTGGAGGCAAAGTGAAGAAGCCAGGTAAGCGTGGTCGGAAACCAGCCAAAATTGACTTGAAGGCAAAACTTGAGAGGAGCCGGCAAAGTGCAAGAGAATGCAGGGCCAGAAAAAAGCTCAGATATCAGTATTTGGAAGAGTTGGTATCCAGTCGAGAAAGAGCTATATGTGCCCTCAGAGAGGAACTGGAAATGGTAAGGAAACATCAGGAGATAAATGAAAAAAATCAACCTCAAATTAGCAGTCAAAGAAATAATACATTAAAACATGAAGATACCAGTTTTCAATTATCAAGTTGGCAAAGATTATGAAGAGTCTCTTAGCTAGAATATATGCAAATAGACATTTTCCTATACTGCTGGTGGGAGTGGAATGTACATGGCCATTTCACTGAGGGATTATTTATGAGAGAAGAAAATGGAAAATAACCCAGCCATGTGTAACAATAGAGGAGTGTTTAACTAAATTATACTATATTCATGTATTGGACTGATTACTTTGTAGTCAGTAAAAATTTCAGTGCACATATATATTTGCTAATGTAGAAAGATATTCACCACATATTACTAAGTGGAAAAAGCAACATAACAATATGTAACTATGTTTAGCATGCCATTTGTATTTAAATGAATTTATATTTTATTCATTCATTCAGACCTGGGTAGTGGCTGTAGATATGTAAAACAGAGTAGATGAAACAGAATGGAAACCCCATGACTTTGAGCCCAGAGAGAAGGTGACAAGTAGGAACACTAGGCTACCTTAAGTTTTTAGGAAATAAAATAATACGGTTGGAATGTGAAAAGAGGGACATGAATTTTCCACATATACACTATTCACTAGATTTTTTTAATATGTGGAATTTGACCTCTGCTATAAACTATTTCTTATTTTCTGCAGTATAAGCTAGTGGAGGGCAGAATCTTTGGTCTGCTTCGTCCTTGTATAGGACGTCTATAGGGACGTATAGGGAGTCTAGGGACTCCCAAAGTCCCTAGAAAACCCTCACTGTCCCTAGTATACATACTGGCAGGTAGTAGATGTTTAATGATCATGAAAGAGAGAAAGATTACTCAAATGTATTTCCTTATTTTGGGAATACACATAATACTGTGACAATTATAAGAAAAAATAGAAGAATTCTAATTAGTGGCACATTGTGAGGTATACTTTCAACCAGAGGGGCCTTTTAAATCTGTGCAACGCTCCAGTGTATCACAAGAACATACAGCAGCAGTTTTTCCATGCTGTTCTGAAAGATACGCACACAGCCTAGGTTATAGAAAGATATGCACACAGCCTAGGTTATAAAGAGGTAATATCATGGAGGGTGGGATTTTTAGCAGCCACCTTGACCTCTGGTCACAGGAGTTCTTATGTCCAGTATTTGTACCAGTGGTTTCTGAGCTCTAATGAATAAAATTTTGCTTAAATATATTTTACACTTTTCAGTACAAGCAGTGGTGTATGGCAATGGACCAAGGAAAAATCCCTTCTGAAATAAAGGCCCTACTCACTGGAGAAGAGCAGAACAAATCTCAGCAGAACTCAAGTAGGCATCCCAAGGCTGGGAAGACAGATGCTAATAGCAATTCCTGTGAGTACAATTCATAGGAGAATATATATTTAAGGGAGTCTCTCAAGGTAGGATTTCTACTACTGTCCTTAGTATGTCTTTAAATAAAATGTTGATGTCATTTGTAATACATTAATAAGTGAAATGGCATTAGAGTCTAAATATGAAAATGCATTTTAAATGGAGTCTATAATGAGCAACTGATAACAGAGTAGCACTGATCTAGTTTTTATTAATAATACTGCCTTTTGTTTACATTTTGATTTCGTAATTTACAAAGTGCTTTCATTCATATTTATCCTAAATATTTCCTCCAATAATTCTGTTAAGGAAGTATACTTATTATTTTATAAATGAGGAACTAGCAGAGAGGCCGGTTAAGTTGCCCAGGGTCATACAGCTATAATGGTGGAACTTGTCTTCACCTAAGTCCAGCCTCTCGCTAGCCCATACTCTAAGAATTCTTTTTAATTGAGGTGAAATTCACATAATATAAAATTAAATATTTTGAAGTAATAGTCCAGAGGCATTTAGTACATTGACAATGTTGTATAACCACCACCTCTATCTAGTTGCAAAACATTTAATCACCTCAAAAGAAAACCTTGAATCCATTAGTTCTTCTATATTACCCACCGCTCACCCCCAGTCTCTGGCAACCACAAATCTGCTTTATCTCTCTATGGATTTACCTACTCTGGATAGTCCATATAAACAGAATTTTATACAGGATGTAACTTTTTATGTCTGGCTTCTTTTACTTAGCATAATGTTTTCAAGGTTCATCCACATTGTAGCTTGTCTTAGTACTATGTTCCTTTTTATAGCCAAATAGTATTTCTGTGTATATGTATGCCATTATCCATTCATCCATTGTGGACATTTGTTTCTATCTTTTGGCAATTCTGAACAATGTTGTTGTAAACATGTATATATGGTATTTGTTTGCATACCGAATTAAAAATTTTTTTGGATTTGTACTTAGGAGTCAAATTGCCGGGTCATATGGTAATTCTATGATTAATTTTTGAGGAACTGCCAAACTGTTTTCCTCAGTGGCTGAAACATTTTATTTATTTATTTTTATTTTTTGCAGTTTTTGGCCAGGGCTGGGTTTGAACCTGCCACCTCTGGCATATGGGGCTGGCGCGCTACTCCTTTGAGCCACAGGCACCACCCTGGCTAAAACATTTTATATTCCTACCACCAGTGTCTTACTGTTAAGATTTCTCTACATTTCACCAACACTTATTTTCCATTTTTTTAAATTGTAGCCATTCTGGTGGGTATGAAGTGTTATTTCTCACTGTGGTTTTGATTTGCATTGCTTTAATAACTAATATTGTTGGACATCTTTTCATGTGCTTTTTGACCATTTGTATGTCTTCTTTGGAGAAATGTCTAAGTTCATGCCCATGTTTTTTAATTAGGTGGTTTTTCATTTTGTTGAGTTGTAAGAGCTCTTTCTTTATTCTAGATACTGGAACATTATCAGATACATGATTTTCAGGTACTTTGTCCCATTCTCTAGACTGTCTTTTCACTTTCTTGATAGTGTCCTTTATTATGCACTAAAGATTTTAATTTTGAGAAAGTCCAGTTTCTCTGTTTTTTTCTTTTGTTTTTCATACTTATCAGTGTTATATCTAAGACTGCATCGCCAAACACAAGGTCAGGAAGGTTTACCTTCTGTTTTCTTCTAAGCATTTTATGATTTTAGTTATTTTATTTGGGTTGTTGACCCATTTTTGAATTAATTTCTCTATATGGCATGAGGTAGGGGTCCATGTGTTGCATGTGGGTATCCAGTTTTTCCAGTACCACTTTTTGAAGAAACTGGAAAGATTTTAGAATGATGATGTCATGTGTTTATTTCTTCATTGTGACTATTCTGGGAGTACTTGATAGTTATGAGGAAATGTTATAAATTATCTTTTAAAAATTTTTTATAAAATTGAAGAAGTTGCCTTTTTTTTTTTAAGACAGCACCTCAAGCTGTCACCCTGGGTAGAGTGCATGGCATCACAGCTCACAGCAACCTCCAACTTCTGGGCTTAAGCAATTCTCTTGCCTCAGCCTCCTAAGTAGCTGTGACTACAGGCACCTGCCACAACGCTCGGCTATTTTTTGGTTATAGTTTTCACTACTGTTTGGCAGGCTTGGGCTGGATTTGAACTCATCAGCTGTGGTGTATGTGCTTGGTGCATCAGCCGCTTGAGCTACAGCCGAGCTGGAAAAAAATTGGCTTTTTAATAACTTTTCCTAGATGAGATAACATTTACCTTAATCTAAGATAATGAGAAAAACCAAGTCAGCTCTTTTCTCTTTCATACTATATCTTTAAAAAGTAGCCTTTCTATAGATGTTGAATTGAAAAAAAAGATACCATGCATTTAAAAACATAACCAAAGTTCATTGACTTTAAAAACATTTTTATAGGCCAGGTATGGTGGCTCATGCCTGTAATCCTAGCATTCTGGGAGGCTAAGGTGGGAAGACCACTTGAAGTGAGGAGTTTGAGTCCAGCCTCTGCAAGCACAAGACCCCATCTCCACCAAAAATAGAAAAAAATAGATAGATGTGGTAGTGTGCACCTATAGTCCCAGCTACTTGAGAGGCTGAGGCCGGAGGATCACTTGAGCCCAGGAATTTGAGGTTACAATGAGCCGAGATGACAATACTGCAGTTTACCTTGTGTGATGGAGCAGTTTGAAAACAAACAAACAACAACAACAAAACCAAAAACCATTCTTACACTGACAACTTTCTTTTTCAGGGTGAAGATCATATGAAATGATGAGTCAGTGATTGAAGCCAATTTTCTGATTCCCATGGAGGAGGGATGGGCAAGAGTGTACTTCTTGACTCCATTTACTACCTACTGCTCAGTAGTCATCTCTGTAAATCTCCAGTTTCTACCAGAATGTTTGAACATAGGTCTCAAAGGATCTTGCTTTAACTTTCAACACTTAGAAAATTTATAAACATTCAGAGTTGTTTTGGTTGGTATTGCCACCCGTGACATTTAACACGTTGTGATGCTTGAAAACACGAAGAGAGGAAAATGGGTAAAGATTATATTTTTGCACCTTAGCTCCACGTTGCTTTATCAGTTAATTTATATTCTTTCCATGTAAGTCATGTAATTATATGTGTAAGTGTGTTTAGGTGTCACCTCCTTTCCTGTTTTTGATTGCCCTTCAAAGAGAAACCAAATGAGCTGATTACTGACTGTTAAGTTCTCAGCCTTTATGGACCTAATCTTGTATCTTTGTATTTACTTGAGCAATGTTTATTTTCCGCATGAACCATTATTTCTCCTGTGAGCCATTCCAGCATAAGCTGTGAATATGTTTTAATGAATATATACATTTCTATTTTTATAACCCTTAAAGATATGCCTGCTTTAAGTATTATACATGTTAACAAAATCTATCAGGAAAACCCTTAAGACAGCCTCTATTTAAAACTTTGTTGCTGTCTTCTCAAACTATATTTATAAAAGTTTGCTAGGGCCAAATCCATACTTGGAGAATAATTTGTCTGATTTTATTTTTAAGAAGTAACCTGTCAGGCATTTCAGCAGCACACATTAGTTTGACAGCCTAGAATATGTACAAGCGTATGTATGTATGTACGTGTTTTCTATTGTATGTCTCTGTACGTACATGGGGAAGACAGGAGTGAATGTTCACACACATTTTCCTGTGTACTCAAGTAAATTGGAGAATTTTTCTTAAGAAAATAGGATGTGAGTTTCTGCCCTGAGATCTGAAACAAAACAAGGGATAAATTGCTAGTAGATCTAATAGTTGTAAGCCATAACCAGAAAAATTAGTTGCTTCCCTGACATGAATTCTTTATGAATGTGTCTGAGCCAGGAGGAAACACATGGTGGGCACACATCTGGCTTAGCTCTGGCTATGCCTCCACTATGGAGTGAAGCACTGAAGCTGGAGTTGTGCACTGCACCACAGCTAGGGTCCTGGCCGGACGTGCAGAAGGGCAGAGTAGCTCTTTCTAGCTCCCACCACAGCTACATTTACTTTCTTCTTGACCACCAAATGGATTGATGGTTGGGGAATGAAAGCCATAATACGATACACTCTGATAGACCGAGGAAGCTTTTGATTTCCCCAGTGAGACACTTTATCTCTCTCTCTTCTCTTTCCCATGGTTAAAACAGGAGTTGCGTTTTCTGTTGCTGCTAAATTATAATTTTTCTGCACTCTAATGAAGCAAATATTTGGCTTCCAAACAAAATATGTTTTGTTATAAACTGGCAGGGTAAGAGAAGGCACCATAATCTAGATTGTTTTGAGGTAGAACATGAGATGGACCACATAGTTGAAGATTACAAGGTACTTTTCCCTGTTCTCTTGGGTTGTATATTTGAATAAAGTGCCTCCCCTTAGCCTGGGTTCCTAAAGACCTCTTCTACGTAGGTTGCAATCTCTAATTTACTGCAGTCTAGTTGTGTGTGACTACTGATAAACCACTAGCCCAGCTTATTGGGTCTCTCTGTGTTTTGGAATATTGGGGGTTTAAGTGTTTAATGTCTTTTTAGGATCATAAATATAAGTAGACTAAGGGTTGTTGCTCTTCAGGCCTACAGAATTTATAGTATTCAGGTTGTAATTGGGTATGTTTTTGCCATCTGGTCTACTCAATTGTATATTTTTATTTTGCAAAACAACCCAAGATTTACTTTATGTTGCTTTGTTTAGTACCTTTTGAATTCCCCAGAAGAGTTGTTTTCAAAGTAAACATTCCAAAATGAATGTGGCTTTTCAATGGAATGTCTCTATTGTGCTTGAAGTATTTCTTCTCTGGTTGTAACTCTAAATTACAGGGTCATTTGAGCTTCCTCCCCTGACCCCCTAGTATCTTTACAAGAGCAGTGACTTTGTCCTCAAGTAGAGGATGTGTAATTTTTGGTGAAGGTGAATTATTCATTTGAGTTTATTCCTAAACCTATCTATGTGGTATTTTGGAGTAGATCAAGCCAAAGGAAAGTTCCCTGGTTTTAAAAAGGAATGTTTTGATTGTTTTGGGTATTGTGCTAGCTGCACACATTGGCCATTTCCAAGCACATTAATAAGTGTTCACTGACTAAAACAGCTGGAGCATTTCCTTCCTTCCCTGTTCCAGTTAGGGTACTGAAATGCTGCAACCCACACCCCACCTGTGTTGAAAAGAGGGCTCAAAGAAACAGCTTCTCCTTGCTGTCTGAGCAAACAGAGGAATGTTTTCTTTTTCTTCCCCCCCCCTCCCAAAGAAAGGTAAAGGGGAAAATATATATGTATTTAGACCAGTCATAGTCTTGTCATTATTTTAGCATCAACTTGCTATATGTTAGAGCAACTGAATATAATATGGAGTAAGTTTGACCAGGTTAACTTTTAGTATAGAGTTGAAATTTTTAAAAAAAAGTTTTTCTATTTTATCTAAAATCTACTATATCTAAATTAGAACTATCTTGCTACAACAAATTCATATCACTGTGTCCAGCTAGTTGAAAGTAGTTATCAGCATCACTATTTAGCATTTTATTTTATCAACCTTGAATTATGGTACCTTTAATTTGGCTAATTACAAAAAAGTATAGGTTTAAACTGGATTTCCCTCTAGTTAAATTAAAAGCAAAGAAGATTTGAAAACATAAATGCTATATATTTCACAAGAAATCAATTGCTTATTACCAATTACATATTTAGTTTTGAAAAGGAAGAGGATTAAACCACATGGTATTTTGGGAGCATTGAAGGAATTTTTCTTTCTCTGAAGAGCATTGTACAATGATATTTTTATGGAAAATAAAATAAAATATCTTCAGAGACATTTCCACTTGTCTGTTTCACAATACTTTAAAAATATGTGTGTATAAGCAAAGAGTTATAAAAAGAGTGTGGAACTGGTCTTGGGTCACCATGAATTATTTAATCTCTCAGCCTGCTTCCTCATCTATAGAATAAGAGAAGATGAGGGTAACTTTCACACAGTAATATGTAGGCTAAATAGAAGTGATGAAAAACTGCTTGTGAATAGTAAAGAGCTGTCACATTATGTCTGTGTTTGGCCATTAGGATTTAATTAACTAAGGATAAATATATTTATTTAGTGGACTGGAATCTAAATATGCACTATTGTGGATATCACATCTCCTAAGTCTTTTCAGCTGTATCATGTCTATCCTTGGAATGGTATAGTTGGAGGCTCTTTTTAGCAATAATGGCCTTCATTAATTAGGCTGATTTTAACACATTGACTGCCACACTAGAAAAAAAAATATTTTCCTTGGGGTCACAGTGTTTTATTAGGTCAAAACTAGGATATGTTAAATACAACTCAGTTAATGTGCTAAGAACAACTAATGTTCCAACTGGCAATATTATCTTTTAATTGCATAGGGCAGGCTTTCAGGCTTCTAGGTAACTTGGTTCTCTTTTTCTTTTCTTTATTTCTTTTTTTTTTTTGAGACAGAGTCTTACTTTGTTGCTCTAGGTAGAGTGCTGTGATGTCCTAGCTCATAGCAACTTCAAACTCTTGGACTCAGGCAATTCTCTTGCCTCAGCCTGCTGACTAACTGGGGCTATGGGCACCCAACACAACAGCTGGCTAGTTTTAGAGATGGGGGTCTTGCTCTTGTTCAGGTTGGTCTTGAACCTGTGAGCTCAAGTTGTCCACCTGCCTCAGCCTCCCAGAGTGCTAGGATTACAGGTGTGAGCCACCACGCCCAACCTTTGGTTCTCTTTTCCCTTGTTCCATCTATTTTACTTAAAAGGGTAGTTATGACTCAGAGCCAGCACTGCCATGTAAGGTTCTGCTAGTTGTGCACTGTCCAAAGGCATCCAGTTAAGGAGGAGAATGGGCTTAAAATCTAGTTTACATTCCCCTCAACAAGCTATGAGTGGAGAAAGGGAACACCTTCCCTAAGCTTACCAAGGGGTATATGCAGCACATGTCTGCCCAGAAGAGATGTTCTTTTCCCAATTTGCTTAAGGGTGGGGGTGTCCTTTTGAAATAGTGCAAAACAGTGGTATTTTACAGCTGGCTTTTGCTGGCTTCCCAGAGGAGAGCCAGTCTCTTCCTAACTCCATGTTCAGTGACATCAGATAGGTAGCTTTTTTTCACTTTCGTTTTGAGACAGAGTCTCATTCTGTTGCCTGGGTAGAGTGCTGTAGCATAGTTCACAGCAACCTCAAACTCCTGGGCTCAAGTGATCCTCTTGCCTCAGCCTCCAGATTAGCAGACACTATAGGCACCTGCCACCGCACCCGACTAGTTGTTTTATTTTTAGTAGAGACAGGTTCTCACTCTAACTTGGGGCTGGTCTCAAACTCCTGAGCTCAAGGGATCCTCCCACCTCAGCCTCCCAGAGTATTAGGATTACCAGCTCAAGCCATTGCACCTGGCAAGATTGGTAGCTTTTAATTAGTAATGGTGGGACTATTTACAGAAATAAGTAAATGCTACAAATTGTGGATCGCCCCACTCCCCGCACCTCATTTTTTCATACACCACTGAAAAAGGCCCTGTATAGGCTGGCATAGCCCTGCCCAGAGCAGGCACATTTGAGACCCTTAAAGTATATGATTAAAGGACACATAGGACTGGAGGAACTCATATGACTGTAGTCAGCTTGGAAATGTCTACATCAAATTCAGAGTTGTACACAGACAGATGGTGATTGTGACTCAGGCACTGTTAGGAGTTAATGACTCACATTTCTCTGTGGAGAAATACCTAGTCAGACTCTAGAAATGACTTAGGAGGTGAATCTACTAAAGTCTTAAAAAAAAGGCCCTGGGGGTCAAGAAGTAGACAACTAATTGACCTACTGTGTTGCAACTGTGCCCCAAGCACTCCTGGACAGGATGGAATGGTGTGCTCTGGGGTACAAGCCATTTTGACTCTGCAGTATAGTAAACATTTGGGCAGGGACATTTCCCTATGATCCAACAGAACCCAATCCAATCTTTTTTTTTTTTTTTTCCTGCTGACACCAAGCACTTTATTAGTGAGACAACTCATCTTGGTCTGGCGGGGGTGGGGGTGGTGGCGGGGGTTGGGATGGACCAATCCAATCCTAACGAGCCTCAGCAGCCCCTTCCTGAAAAGGAAAGCTGTGCCTGGCAAGCACTTTCTAACCCCTACACAAAATAAAGTTGGCAGGGTGGACACTACAGCTCCTTTGCCTGGGAGACATAGGCTCAAATAGGCTAAGAGGCTATCCCAAGTCTGCACTGAATTCTGGATCTTACCACTTCGACAGAACAAAGACTGTGCCGCCTGTCACATCACAAGAAAAGAAGGTACACGATTTATGGCAACAAATAGGTAAATAAGGACCCCTAAACCTACCAATTCTCAGGCCAAGACAGGCCTCTGCTGCCACATAGGAAAACAAGAGCATTAAAAAAGTAAGGAGGGACCCAGGTGATGCCTCCCACTGTAATCCTAGCACTCTTGGAGGCCCATGCAAGAGGACAGCTTGAGTCCAGGAGTTTGAAGTTGCAGTAAGCTATGATGGTGCTACTGTGCTCTAGCTGGGGATGACACAGAAAGCTCCTGTCTCCAATAGAAGGAGGAAGGGGGAAGGGAAGGAGAGGGAGGCCAAAACAAAGGGTGAAAGCTGACAATGCTTCCTCCTCCCTTGTTGAGGTGGCCCCACCTTTTCACCACTCCAGACCAAAAGGAAAAACTCATATGCCTGTGAACCTTTTCAACAAGGCAGTGGAAGAACTCAAGCAACAGCCAAGAAAGTATCTTTAAAGCTGAATTACAGTAAGTCACTCTCCCAGGAGTGGTAGGGAGGAGGGTACCTTGAGTATGAATCAGAGGAACACAAACCCCTGTGAGAAACACTGCAATTTAGGAGATGATGAGTCATTTAGATGATGGAGGGGCATCAAGCTTTACATATTTGAAGTAGAAATAGGGGCGAAGTATTCCAAATACAAAGGACTCAACATGGGGTTCCTTTAAATTAATTACTCTTTAGTGAAATTAATGTTTTACTGATCAATAACCACATCATTATATACCTGGGGATGAGATAAAAAACAGATGAAATATGTGCTCTCTATTTGTTATTAGGTAAAGTGAAAATAGAGTTATCTCTACAAGTAAAATATGTGCCAATAAGCACATGGTGGCTCACACCTCTAATCCTAACACTGTGGGAGGCCGAGGTGGATGGATTGCTTGAGCTCATGAGTTCAACACCAGCCTAAGCAAAAGCAAGATCCCATCCCTACTAAAAATAGAAAAACTGAGGCAAGAAGATTGCTTGAGCCCAAGAGTTGGAGATTGCTGAGAGCTATGATGTCACAGGACTCTACCCAGGGTAACAGCTTGAGACTCTGTCTCAAAAAAATAAAGAATAGAAAATGTGCCAATGACATTTTGAGTAAGCATGGCTTTTTAGGAACATTTTTTGAGTAAAAAGTAATCGGTTGTATACCGGTATTTAATACATGTTTAATAACTGATTCTTAAAGCCTTGATTTGTGGTGTTTGCTAATTTCTGGGGGTGGAAATATTCCCATAATGGTTGATTTCAAGCTATT